TCCTCCCACCCCCTATGTGGCCCCTTTTTCCTTGTTTTTTTGGAATTGGTTTTCCCACCACTTTGGTGGGAAAATGGTTTCCAGGCTTTTTTTTTTTTTTGGCAATGAAAACAAATTTTATGGACAATTGTAAAATAAAAAATAAAAAATTCCCTTTAATGGACAATTTCCATGGAAAACAAAGTCAAACAAACACCAAAAGATTCAAAATTTCCACATTATTCAAATGAAAAATTATACCAATCAAACACAATTAATTGACAATTCCCAAGAAAACAATTCTAATCAATTCAATTCCCTATAATTCATTTTCTTTCTACCCAAATTCCACTCTTACAATCAAACGGACTCTTAGTGCTTATTTGGTATAACTTAAAAAGAAGTAAAAATATTTAAGTCAAATTTAACAATTAATTATAGCCACTCATTTCATGGGACCCACAAATTTTCATCAACTTTTATCAAAAACTTTATCAAACCACCTCTTATCGTCTTGGCAACTTTTAGTCTTAGCACCTCTGTAGAAATATATAAAAATTCACGAGGTCGCTATTGAAATAATGAACTAAAACAACAAATTGAAAAAGTATGTCGCAGTAAAATGCAAGAGAAATCTACAAAAGACGGGTACAGTTTAGTTCTTCATCCATCCTATGCTTCTTTCTCAGTCAGATTTCTTAATTAAACTCAGCAACACCCCAGCACTAAGAGATGTAGCCACAAATCCAAGGGAAACCTCAGTAGATAAATGGAAACCTGGAGGCCGATTAAATTACAAACATAAATTTTGCTTAAAGATGAAATATACGTGTGGAAGAACCCGTTGAGTGACACTTACCAAAGAAATCAAGAATCATCTTGCACCCGATAAATCCCAGAATACCACCAATGGCAGGCTGAAATAATCGTAAAAATTAGATGATAGAAATTGAAAAGTGGGGAAATCAGGCTAATCTCAATTGTCGTATGAACTCATTGAGAATAATTATCTGAACACTAGTAAATGCAAGAACCCTTTTTCTTCACTTTGCAGTTAGAACCAACCTTAACAGGTGAAGACCTTCTCAACGAGAGCCATCCTTCGGTGCATCCAAATTGGCTGGAAAGGGGGAATATGAAGTGGGCGGTGCGGTAATCGGTAGGAGTTGTTCTAATCAGCCATAGCACTTCTACTATGGGTTATCCAGGTGAATGAAATCTTACAGAGTATTTACCCCACAATTTGAGCAGGGTGCATGAAATGGCCCTCTATGCACCAGGAACACATGGATTTGGGGGTCGAGATTATGTAAATTAGATAAGCCAAAGTAGAATTGCCAAGAAAGAGTAAAACAAATCATACGGCCAGCATTTTTTCAGCTTTCCTGTTTTCAGCTCATGTGGATGCACCAGAGGATGGCACTCGCAGATAGGTTCGCCAACTTCCAAAATTCTGCAGTTTGACTAGGAAGATAATATTTGCTTGAGATTATTTTTAGATTAACTGACGTTAAAGTGATGATATTTAGTTAGTTTTGCTCCTCTAGCTGGCTTGTGTCCCATTGTGGATATAATATTTTCAGGGTAGGGGTGTTACATCAAGCAATCCTGAATTCAAATATTGCAAGCAAAATCTCACCTGCAGGTACTCCAAATCTGCCATACTCTCAGAAATGAGTGTATAATATGACCTTAAACCTACAAAAAGTCAAATAAGATTATTAATCTTCTATAACAAAACATAGATGCATCTTTCAATGAACCAATTAAGCTTTTGCATTTATTATTTAAATAAATTTCCATATGGATCCAGATTAGCAGTCTGGTGGAAGTAGAAAGAATAAGGGTTTGTTCTCTTTACCATTTTCAAAACGTTTTTTGTTTTCGATATTCCAAAACAGTAAAAACGCGTTCTCTTTTCTATTTTCGAAAACGTATTTTTAAAAACAAGTTAAAAATTTACAAAGAAAACCCAAAAACGAAAAATTTGTCGTTTTGGGTTTTTTCGGTTATAATCAAGCCAAAATTTCAAAAGGCGTTTTGGGTGTTTTCAAAACACCAAAAGGAACATATTTTCAACAATCTCAAAATGAACACTCAAAATACAAAACTCAAAATGAATTCAAAACATAAAACTGAAACACAAAGAGAACAGCCCCTAATTGTCACACAAATTTAGTAGTGTGTATATCATCAAAAATTAATTTTGGAACTGAAAGTATCAGATGACAACAAATCCACATTGATATCTATGCTTATGTTTCAAAATGTAACCAGCTATAAGAAAAACTGTAGAGAGAAAATAGAAAAATAAAGGACAAGAATGTACCTAAAATGGCAAAGAGATTCGATGTGAAGACTATGAAAGGATCTCGTGTCACTCCAAAAACTGCAGGTATAGAATCCACCTGAAATAGAAATTAAATAGCCAGTGAATACAAAATGACAAAGCCCGAGTTCTTTAGACGTGCCACAGATAATGAAATGAAACCTACAGCAAATGCAATATCACTGAGTTCAATAACCGCAACCGTCAGAAGCAAAGGTGTAGCCTGCCCAAAATGTTCGATTCCTGTTAGAAATCAAGTTAATGATCAATTCAAGATAGAGATGTTCATTTGAATATGTGGTGCCACATATGATTAGATCGGCTACATGTA